TCAGCAGGAGGTTACATCTGAGCCTTAGAAGACAGACTTTAAAGACAAGCTTTAGACATGTCTTTAGAAGTCTCAGCAAGTTGTCTGTGAAACCAGGACAATTATGAAGTGTCATTGTACTTGTTAGCTGGGCTACAACAACAGACAAGAACTACTAGGCAGTAGGCACCCCGCCAACATCCTGCAAGAATTTGACACATTCTTCTTTTTTCCGCCCTCATTAGCTGCATGCAAATACATCTTCTGTGACAAATCTTTCTGCTACAGCAGGAAGGAAATGACTGCTGCCATTTCTAGGATTCCAAAATATATGTGTGTGTCTACTGGTTTCTCTGGGCTGAACTTTATAGAAGTCAGCTGCCCAACTTCCACTAACTTTCAAACCCAGCCTACACTATTAAATTTGTGGTTGGTGGGTACACAACCATGGATCAATTAAATCTCTGGCTGGACTAATTGTTCGGCTTGAAAAGTAATTCTGACCCAAAAAGGATTCCCAGTCCAAGATGGCAAGCTTTAGACGGGAAACGCTCCACTAAGCTAATTCAATTTAGACTTCTGAAGACCATTCTAAGCAAACATCAGTGATCTTGACATTTTCCTAAAATGCTTTTTATCAAGAATGCCATTCTTTGTCCACAGAAGACACGGAGTCTTTCCTCTCTCTTGCTTTTAAAATTCATCTGTGCTCTTTCCAGACTTTCTACTGTGCTGCCAAGCTAGAATTTTTCTCACTTATCTCCCATTAACTTTTGTTCTCCAGACCTCTCCCAAGGCACCATTCTCCCCACGCCTCCTGTTACATGCTGCTTACTCTACCGTGCATGCCACGTGCTACTTGCATAATATCCCCTGTGGCGCTATTTACATCATCACAAACCTCTAGAATTGATGACTAACCACAGAACGCTGCCTCTGAATCACAAAAAACTAATTGCTTTGAGAGCTATGTCATTATCAAAGTGAGTGCCTATTAATTTTTCCTCCTTGCAGGAAACTCTGGTTTATACCATGTCTTTCACACTTACTTACTAGAACTATTTAGGATTCAAATCATTTGACTCAACAGCACTGATATATGATCTATTTGAGGAAATTATTCAGCCTGCAAACACTGCATTTGAATACTCACCACAGCAATAACAGGAATGAGCACTCCAAGATTCCCTGCACTACTGGAAGCCTGAAAAAGAAGAGAAGTTGTAAATGGTATGAAACCATCACTAACAAAATCATTTTAAATACTGTATACTAAAAAACTTACTTCTAGTGACAAACATAGCTACTGCACACAAATGGAAAGAAAGATATAGAGCAGGCTACACCCCTGAACCTGCAATTAGATCTGCATGGGCAGACTCCTTGGTGACCTGTGAAGTGCACAAATGGAATCAACAGGTCTATGTGCAGGTACAGGATCTGTCTAACAAAATCCCATGAAACCAGCCCATGTGTATCCAGTAGCAGGATCAAGGTCTAGGACTCTAGAATATGCACCATTTACTCCCTCAGCTCCTTAAGTGGTTGAGCAGAGAGGCCTTCTTCCACAGACACAGTACCATATATTTTTGCAAGTAAATATATTATGCTTTAGCTCAGGAGAACAAGGCATCCAATGACGGTCTCTATTTAGGAACATCTAGTAACCGAAAAGGTTTTATACCATAGTAAGTGCCCAAAGCTAACTGTCAAACCTCTCTCAGAAGGTCAATTTTTACTTCTGAACTGAAGCCAAGATCATGAATCCGTAATGGACAAAAAATTTAAGGGACTTATTCCATCAGAAAACACTGCTCATCCCAATTGATTTCCGTTAAGCATTATTCAAATCAAAGCGTCTTTTTCCACATGTCTGAATTTATTTTTACATGATATACAAGATAATCGTGGCCATTTCTGGGCTGGATATGCTGTTAAAGATTATAATGTATTCATGACTCACCATAAAGAGTTTCTTGCTCCAAGATGAGCTTAATACAGAACAATCCAGTCACCACACATAAGCAAAGACCTTAGAAAGTGTACCTCCCATTCCCACACAGCCTCTGAGGTGGAGGGAGAATTAATTCTGTGCTTGCGAGGAAGGGCGGTGGAGAAATGGCGCTAGGATCAAGTTAATGGGTACAAGGAAAGGATAACAGAGTTTCACCAAATGAAGCAGATTACAAAGGAAGGACTGTTTGGCTCTAGAGCCATTACCAGATAACTCCTGCATGCGTTGTGCTAAAATCTTTCATGTAAAGACAATTTACAGGAATTGTCAATAATGGCTTTAGGCACAGGCATACATAGGATACATGTGAACACAGTGAATGGAAGCAAATTTTACTTTTAAAAGACAGAAACCAGTTTTTGCAGGGTTCAACAATCTGTTAAACAACCAGTTAATTCTGAAATTAAGCAAAAAGAACAAAAAGCAGAAGTGGTTTAGGCCTGTTGGAAAGCAAGGACAAAAAAATGTTAAAGCCTGGTTAGAGGAAGGGAGGAGTTTCAGCAACACAGTTTGGACCCATGCATGCACAGGACCTATTTTAGTTTAAATTATCTGGAATATATTAAATCAAGAATAGAAAGTCAGTGTCTTGAAATGCCATATGCTTCATTTAAGGCAAATACAAGCCAGCCATACAAATGCTCTCTATGTAATACAGACCGTTTTTATGGCTGGTCTGCCATTTTATGGTACTTTAAATTGGATGCATGTGTAGCACCCTGGCCATTTACACCACGATTTAACATATTAATTGTGGCATAAATGTAATGTGCAGAGGGGCCTAAAATAAACTGAATTCTTCTTGGGAAAGCTGACTCAGTATCTGTTATTAGGCACCCTTTTCCTTATGAAAAAGTAATCCAGCAGCTCTACTGACTTGGTCAGTGACATAAAAGGCATTTACTTGTTGCAAATGCACAGTTTATCTTCAAAGCAAACAGATCCCATTCATTTCAAAGTGGTTTGCCAAGAGAGTTCACCAGTCCCATAAAAGGATAAGAAAAGAACTTTGCACTATTAAAACACGGTATGTTCAGGAAGGGAGAAGGTTGTGTTGGGAGTTTAGGGACAGAAAACAACTTTATTACTCTACTGATAGCAAAGCTTTAAGAAAAAAATTTAGCACCAAGTGTCACACTGAATGGAATATATACATATACACAAATCTGGGAAAAGAAATTCCATTTCTCAATCCTTTTCTTCTTCTATTTAAAAGGAAAAATACAAAGCCATTCCATAACTGGGATATTCTTGGAGGGGCTGGAATGGCCATGTTTATGACAAACGGTGAAGAGTTTGTTATTTTTCCACATGTAAAATTCTCAGTTTACTCTGCTCCTCGAGAACGAGGACTACATTCTATTGTCTGTTACTTCCCCTTTGGGTTTTCTCCTGCCACCAAGAGTAGAGGTGTTGCAACTGAATTCATGGCCCAATCAATTTCTCAACGTGTAATGTATTTATATATATTCCCAAGGATATGAGGAGATAAAAGTACTCTTTGGTCCATATTTCATTCTCAGAGAAACATGTTAGCACTGTACCCTGAATATTTTAGTAAACAGCACCTAGCTGCCATATCAATCAATCATTAATATATCAGTAAGTGCCTGATCCTGAGTGCTGTCAGTTTAATTTTAGCGGGAGCTACTCATGCTCTGCAGCTCAAGATCAGCTTATACAAGTGATCTAAGTTGTATTGACCTCACCTGTGGAAGTCTCTCCTGTAAATACTTGAAGTGGTTGTAAAACAATAAGGAAAGAAATCTTGTTATGGTAGGTTATTCAAACAAAAGTGAGATTTACAAAAATTATTTGAAAAACCTCTAAGAACTCCTGAAATTCAAAAACAAAAGCTTATAGATTTTGGTCAACCATTGGACTGACTTATTTAAGTCCCACAACCCTTTCATATCATAACACAAATTATTTCCATTATAACCCAATCATTTATATTCCCTGCATACCAAGAACTCACTGAAAGAAACTGAAGTTCTAGATCCATAAACACAGAACTGACTCTGGATCTTGTGTTATGACTGGCTACAGGTGAACACAACGTCAAATAGATCAGCAAATAGCAGAACTAATCAAACAACTCTATGGTTTCTACTTATTATCAGGAAAAGTGAAGTGTTTCAAGGTGCAAAGCTGCCTGACTGGCCTTCAAGGAAGGGAATGTTGTAAAATATTGCAACTGGGAGAACCCCTTAACTTTCCACAGGACACACATTTGGACAACTGCATTTTGTGTACACATTTCCAAACAAAAATGACAAAGATGTTTTTAATAATTGGTAGACTACAGTATGTAGAAATTCAGGGATTGGGATATAGTAACATAGGAAAGAAACACAAATAAATGAAGGCTTAAGGCTTTTAGGACTTGGGAACAAAAGCAAAATGTGGTTCCAAGTGATAACATGGATGTAGAGTGCACAGAAGCCAAGGTTAACAACTTGTTTACGAATACGTTTTAGAGGAAGGGAGGAATTGTGGGAAAGAATTTTGGGAGAGGAAAGGGAGTACTTGTGCAGGAAATGTACAAAACCCTCCGAGGACACAACAACAAAAAACTGATATGAAGAAAATTGAATGAAAGAAGTCACAGCACAAGAAAAGGTTGAAGAATTACAAATGAGCAAACAGCCTGTATGAATAAAAGATAGGTTTCTACTATGCAAGTGTATCATCTACTGTTAAAACACTCAACAATTAGCTAAGGGAATCCATTCTCAGACCTTTATATTTAAAGATTAGTTTATATTTTACAGGCAGCTGACTGAAAATACTGGGAAGGTCTTTATAGATAGAGCTACTGAGACTTACTTAAGGGGCAACTTTAAACTGATTTAAATAAACCATGACCCCCTCCCCCCGCAAAAAAAATCAGTGCAGGCAGTCCAACTGCAGTTTACTGCAAGCTTGTTTCAGTTTTGCAAACATCAGTTAGGCTAAACTTAAACCTGTTCCTAAATAAGCCACTCTTGCATGGGCAGAGAAGCTCCACACAGGGCTCTGTAGTAGTTTAACAAAAGCAGTGTTAGTTTCTGTGTTGATCTCTACATGCAATAGATCTTATTTGGAAGCTGAAGAGCCACGATCAAACATCAGTATTAGCTTCTTATTTCAGTGAGCTGTAAAGGATTATTGTAAACCACTGGGAAGGAACGTGGTAAGTCCAAAAGCAAAGCAAGCCAACTACGATCCTCCACCCTGCTTCTGTCAGTTACCTTGCCCAATTCTCCAGTATTCTCTCACTTTTCTGTGCGTCACCTTGTGCTTCCACAAACTTAAGATCAGCAGGGATTCAGATTTTCCATTCTACATAGAAAAATGTGGTAAAACCCAGATTTTCTCTTTTTAAAAGAGAAAAACCATGGGAAATGGCAGGGGACACCATGCATGTGCATGCATACATATACACACAGCTATCAGGCAGCATGAGAGCAGCTCCCTGCAGGTAAGTTGGGGGAGAGGTAGGGGAGAAAGAGGATTGAGGCCGCCATAGGGAGGGAGGGAGGAAGGAAGGTAGAGGAGGGAGGGAGACAGGGCTGGGGCTGCTGCCCAGCTCAAACAGTGTTTGGGGCTTGGGGCCCAGGACCATGTGTGGCTGCAAGGTCCAGGAGGGGAGCGAGATGGAGAAGCAGCTGGCTCATCCAGAGCGGCAGCAGGGGGGCTGGCTCCCCGCTACTGCATGCACTACTGGGGGGAATGGGGGCACATGCCTCTGAGATGTGCACAGGTCAGGGGCAGATGCGGGCTGCCCACTGCGGGTTCAGGGATCCCTGCCCTGCTGCCATGCCCCCAGGGCCTCCACGGCCTAGCAGGCAGGACTTGGCATGGCAGGGCAGAGTGGGGTGGCTCAGTGCTGCTACCAGGAGCCCCACACCGCCACGGTGAGGTGCCTCCTGCCTGTCCGGCAGCAGCAGGGAGCACAACTCTGCACTGCCACCCCTGCTGCTGCCAGGTGGGCAGGGGACACCTCACCATGGCAGTGAGAGAATCCCAGTAACATCACTGAGCTTCTCTGCCCTGCTGTGCCAGGTCCCACCTGCTGGGCCACAGAGGTCCCCGGGGTTAGGGCATTAGGGTGAGGCGCCTTGAGCCCAGAGCCACCAGCCTGCATCGCCCACCCCCACAGGCTCTGCTCAAGCGGTGTGGCTTTTGGGGAGGGGGAGCCAGGCTCCACGCTCTGGTCCACTGCAGCAGCTGCTGCCTCCCACAGGTGGCAGCCAGGGCTTGGGAGCTGCTGGGGGATACAGGGGGGCTGCTGACCTGGGTCCCTGGCCCCATATCCAGGGCAGCTGGGGACTCCTTCTGGCAGGGCTGTGGGTGGGGAGTGAGGAGCAACAGCAGGGCTGGAGGGGCAATGGCATGGGCAGGGCACCAGTATATCAGAGCTGCTCAACACCACAAAGCCAGGGGCGTGGGGGACAGCTGAAGCTGGACCTGCATCCTGGTGAGCAAAATGGGTAGAGGGAGTTCTGGTTTTCCAGAGCTCACTGGCTAAGTTCACAGATGACATCAAGTCATGGGGAAGCGTGGTCATACTTAAAAATAAGCTGCAGATACAGGTGGACTTAGACAGGCTGGCAATTTGGATGGATCGGAACAGATAAAAGTTCAACATTGAGAAGCATAAAGTTCTCCATCTGGGAACGAACAACCCCCAACATACCTACAGGCTTGATGTTGCCAAACTTGACTAGCACCACGACTGAAAGGGACCTAGTGGTAATAATAGACCATGGTATGAACATGCGTCGTCAGTGCGATGCTGCAGCCAGCAGGGCAAATAATACTTCGACATGCATCAATCAATGCATCTCAAGCAAAACCAAGGAAGAGATTCTTCCACTTTACTCAGCATTGGTGAGTTTGCAGCTGGAGTACTGCATCCAGTTCTCCATGCCACACTTCAACAAGGACATGAAAAAGCTTGAGAGAGTCCAGAGAAGAGCCACCCGTATGATCAGAGACTTGCAAGGCAAGCTATACGAGGGAAGGCTGAGGGACTTGGGTCTAGTCAGCCTAAAAAAGGTAAGGCTGAGAGGGGACTTGGTAGCAGCTTACTGCTATATCAGGGGACTACATCAAGGGCTTGTTGAACAACTGTTCACCAGGGCACCCTTGGGGAAAACCAGGAGTAATGGCCACAAACTCCTGGAAAACCATTTCAGGCTTAAAACTAGGAAAACTTCTTCACAGTCATGGTGTCCAGACTGTGGAATAAACTCCCTCCAGAGGTGGTGCAATCACCTACCCTGGAAATCTTCCAGAGGAGACTGGATAATCACCTCGCTGGGGTCACCTGACCCCAGCTGTCTTTCCTGCCTCGTGCAGGGGGGCTGGACCTGATGATCTTGTGAGGTCCCTTCCAGACCCTAACAAACTATGAATCTATGATAAAAAAATCCAAAAATCAAATGCCAAAAATTATAGGTATGTAGAATGTATTTTATTATACTGATGGAGGCACTGGTAGGCTTCCAAATTGCTTTAAACTTGTAAATATATCAATAAAACATTGTGTTCAACTGATACCTACGTATGTATAGTGGTATTTCATTTTAATCACAGAAAAACATGGATTTGGGGGGGTTTTTTTACCAGAGATTTGGTGATTTTTATAAGAGAAGTTGTGATTTTTAAATCAGAGAAAACCAGGATCCCTGCTAATCAGAAATGCCAATTTGCTTTCTTTATGATATGAGCAGAAAGGACAGCATACTGGCAAGGATCTCAAAGCTGCAGAATAACTGCACCAATTTCCAGAAATCATCATATATGGCATCTCTAAGGACTGTGTTATGGAGTGCTGAAATGCACACACTATACCCCAAAAGGACTTAAATGTATCCGACTTTAGTGTGGTGTTGGCCAGATGCCCAGGTCTTGGGTAGGTTACAAGCACACACCCCAGGCTGCATTATCGTTAAACACATTAAATCCTTCCAAGGTAGCGTACGAGGAACAGGCACGCCATACTTCACTGCAACACTGCCTAAAGCAATCCCTGGACAGCACAGACATGTCCATGCAGATGGAGAATCCATACAGACAGCATTTGTATGGTATATTAGAGCTGCACAACTCTGCTGCGTAGCTCTCCAGCCAATAATATATGAGACTGTTATGAAAGCTGATCAAAGTGCAATCTAACACTCTCAATACTTGCTTAGTCATCTGCACAGATCTGACTACAGTTGTCATTTGCACCAGGCTGTTTATTCTACACAATCTATTTTAAGCTTAATTGCATAGGTCTGCATTGACTCAGATCTTT